GCTTCTGAGGCTTTGCCAGAGCAAAGCCTCAGAGGCGCGAGACCCCTCCGCCTCCCCGGTTTTGCTCCAGGTGTCCCTGGTCTGCTGGAGACGGTCTCCAGCAGACCAGGGGCACCCGGAGCAGCTTTTCTCGCCCCGGAGGTTGAGGTGGTGGGACCGCTGCGCTCTGGGCGGTCCCGCTGCCTGCGAGCTCCAGGGCGAGAAAGCCCTGTTCGTAAGTCGGATCCGCCTAACTCGGGGACTGCCTGTACAGGGGAGTTAATATCATTACAAGAACCTAAACTTTACAATATTTTACTCTAAAATCTGTACAGCCGTCACACTGTATTATCATGTGTTGCATTCTGTATTCTTTGTGTTTTTAGCAGCATGCTTCTCTCCCATTAAATCTTTAACCCCACTGAGTGCAATGCAGCCAGCGTTCCATGGTCATCTGTGAAAAATGCTGCTAGCCACAAAGGTGAATTTTAAGAAGCCTTTGTTAATAAAGAATCCAAAGATTTTGTTCTGTCTTTTATAGTCCTGGTCAGGCCATTTGCATCACATTTAAATACACACAAAAATAGTCAAAATTAATAAGATGGGCAAACAAAGTCAAAATGTTGGGACTAAATAAAAGTCTGTCTTCAGTTGAAATGAAATTGACTAACCCAGCAGTTTGATGAAATGCACAAGGATAATTTCACCAGCTTTTCAAATCCAGCAACAGATTTTCGATTGCAGTGTGGAAGGAGTGTCATCGTTTCCTTCGAAGATAGCAGTGAGCAGTCCCAGTGGTCTTGGGACATTACACATCTAGGCAAGGTACATTGTCATCCATCGACAATGAGATGTAGATTTTAGAATTCGGCTAATGAGTAACACGAGACAAGGACCATACGGTGTTGTGTGTCCTTTAGTTTTACGGTGAGCTATGTTTTATGGGCCTGCAGCAGAATACAATATGCATAGGAAATTGCCTCAAAGCTATGTCTACACATGCTGCGATTTCTCATCATTGCCTCTGCACAGTGAAAGCCTGACTGGGTTTGGCAAAACAAATATAATTCAATTAGTTCCTGAGTAAGGTAGATTTGGATTGTAAATTCCCAAATGTCAAAGAAAACGTGTCTCTCCTGCCGTGAAGACAAAGGAGCAACTTCAGTGCTTACGCCCTATCTAACCCCTATTCACTTCCACGGGGTTCCACATGACATTCACGAGGGCAGAATGCGGCCCAAAGCGGTGACCACTGCGCTCGCTAATAAAGAGCAGGGACTCCAGCCTGTCTCCTCATTCCAGTCTAATGCCACACTGATCTAGTGACACGAGAATAGCAACGGATTCAAGCACTTCACTATTTCCCATGTGCTAAGTAAATGGTCAGGGCTGCAGAGCTGCCAATGAACAAGCCTGGCACCAGAGGGCACTCAGTAAGTCTGTTCCTACTATACAGTTGACACAGATGAGAAACAGCCCTTCAGTTCCAGTGCAGAGTAGGGATTTAATAGTGTAGTCGATTAACCGAGAAGCAAAAGCTTATAGGTTCATGCTATAGACTACAAGCATTTCCCCCTCCCTCCTCTTGAAAGTAAATTTTTAGCAGGCTGGCCAGCAGCCCAGCTCAGTCCAGCACCTACCCCCACTGAAGCTCTATATTTAAAGTGTATTAGGAGCCGGGCAGGCAGGCAGCTTGGCTCAGTTCCAACTCATGCTGGGTCTGGGAGCTCAGATCCCCCCTAAAAAGAGGCTGCTGCCACCTCATGCTGCATCCTCTTTATCAGAGGCAGCAGCATAAGGTGACAGGCAGCTGGTCCACGAAGGGAGCTGGGTTTTCAACCAGCTGCTCTCACGGGCCAGCTCCCACCTGACATCCCACACTGCTGCCACTGATACTGAGGCAGCAGTGCAGAGTGGCAGGGGGCTCCCCAGGAGTGAGGCCAGAGTGCACTGGCTGCGGCCCCCGCGGACTATCGACAGTCAACTAATCGCTAAGAATTCAGTGAATCCATTTAACATCCCTACTGAGCGGTATTGAACAATATCCAGCCTACCCGCACCACGAGACTAGAGCTGAGACGCCACCCTGAGTCGCCATTAGTCATGTTCTGTCACTGGGTGTGAGAGGGTAAGAGCCTGCATATCCGAAACATGGTCACAACAGGTCACAGTTGAGTCTGGAGAAGAGAGAAACTTAATTCCACAAGACTGGAATTCAAGAGTCTTGCGTTCTATGCTGTGTGGCCTTCAGTATATAACCTGTAAAACAGTCCTCATGCTAGATGATTTCCCAGGGGTGCTGTGAGGTTCATTAATTAATATTGGCAAAGTCCTTCAAGATGCTCAAGTGACACACACGACAGAAGTACAAAGTTGGTGTATCTGGGTTATGCAATGATTTAAGAATTAAACCTTTTA